TTATGCTATTATTGTAAAAATAAAAATCTGCATTAATTACAAAATATATACAATAATATAAGTAACATAATAATTCATATTTATAAATAGGCTCACATGCAAAGTAATGCAGTTTTTATGAAAAAATAGTGTAATAAATTAAAAAATCAAATAGATTTAAGAATATTAATTGTGTGTTGACTAAAGATATATATTAATTAATAATATTTAGTATTATTAAATTATTCATATAAATATTGTAAAAGAAGGTAGAACTATATTTCAATATATAATATAAAATATATGTAATATTAGACAATATTAACATATCATACATCAAACACAGATTTTAGGAAATAAAAAAAACAATAAAGATGATATATAAATAAGAAAAGAAATTTTCTATTCTGTATAAAATAAATTATTATTAAAAAATTATTCTCCTTATAATTAACATAAATAATATAAAATATATAAAAATTCATAAATCTTCAAAAAACATATCGGTATATATATCATTATTATAAAAATATAAAAAAAAAATATATATATTATTATGTATAATCCAAATACATAAAAAATATATTACAATTCCAATACAAATTCCTAAAGCAAAAGATTTTAAAGATATAAAACAAATCCTAAATGTAAATATAAATATAAAATCAAAAATGTATATATAAAAACCTAAACCCCCAAACCCTCAAACTTACAGCAAGAACATGAAACCTAAACCTGAAGAAATATAATATGCTTAGTATTAATAAATATTATAGCAATTATGTAACAGTTCAATATTAACTATTAATATGGTTTTTTATTATAGAAAGTGCTATATACAACAATATTATATATAAAACTCTATCTTATATAGCGAAATACCATGTATCATATATATTACGTAATTATCTAAGCATTTACCTCACACATATATTAATATATTATCCAATGTGAATAATTATTTATAATATATTTTTTCATGGAGAAAAAAATAACTGTTTCCTGCAAATTGTGTATAATAAAATAAGACAACTGCATATAATATTACTAGCATTATTATTAAGTCTTTATAACTTTAGTTAACTCTAAGTTTAAGCATAATAATATTATTTAAATATTATCATATTAAATTAAAAAAGTAATTCTTATTTTTGTTTTATTACGTTATGTTAATCATATTTTTTGTTATGCATTTTTATGCAAATGTACTATGCACAATTATTCTATAATATATTTTGCGCCTGAAATAAATTATATTACTCTAGTTATGTATTTAAATGTATAATTATGGATAATTATATGATATATTATATCTACTATCTCTTAACAAGCTATTAGATATTTCAGGATATTGGTATATATTTCTTTCTTTACCTTTGTTATCCCAATAATTTCTTTTCCATTCTATAGCACGTCGTATCCATAAACCACATTCTAAGAACTAATTCATGTGGAAAATATGCATGAAGGATGTTATTCTTCTTGTGATAATATTTTCCCTTTAATCTATGCAAAAAAATTATTTCAAAACAAAAATATATAAAAATAATATATTAATTAACCTTAAAAAGAACAAATATAGAAATGAATATAAATACTGTTACTAAAATTGTAATCATAATAGGGGCTACAATGTTACTTCTGCAAGGTGTTGTTATTAATGATTTACTAATTTCATCATATACAGAATCTATTTGTTTATTGTGTTTATTCATAATGTCTATTACATCTTGAAAAATATTATTCGTACTATATGTGTGTGTAATTATTTTATTATACATATCATATATAGCTCTGATTTTTGGAAAATCAATTTCTTTAATCCCATCCTTAAGACATCTGGATATTTTTATCTCACCTCCAAAATGACTTTTGAAACCTTTAATAAATATATTTAGTATTTCATCATAAACTTCATCGACATGGACAGTTATAACTGTGTTATCTTTATGATGTAATAGTTCATATATCCAATAATAAAGATATTCACAACCGAATTCATTTAAACTTTCAATGTTATCCCCATTTACATCGGCTAAGTATTCCATTAATTGGTTACATATATCTTTTGGATTACGATTATGATAATTTAAATGACTTAATTTACCGTTATCAATATTATCAATACATAACTGTGCCCAAATACTTGGGCTTAAATAATCAGTAATTTCTTTGGGCTTTCCTGCTAGCTTCGTTCTGCATTCTGGATAATGATGTACAATTTCATACTAAGGAAAAAAGCATATATAAAAAATAACAATTAAATAAGTAAATTATATTGAAGACATTTAAAAATAATGCATAGGTAATATAAATAAAATATAATAATGTTGCAGATTATATTATGCCAATTAGAACGTACAATAGATTTCCCCATTTCTTATTGTATTATACTCTTTAAGAATTTAATAATATTAAATAGTAAAATTTAATAAAAAAGATATATATATTTATAAAAATAATGTTATACCTTGAAAAGAAACAATAATTTTTTTTTTATATACTAGTATATAGATTATATTAAAATAACATTGAATTACTTCATCAAAAATTATTTTAAATTTTAAAACATAATTGTAATAATGTATGAAAATTAATATATTGGATTACTTATTCTGTAGGCCTCAATGAAAAACATATATATTATATTTACTAAAAACAAACTTAATATATTCTCTTAAAATATAAAATTAAACTACCACTGCTATATGAATATTATAGATATTTCTAAACTTCTCAATGATAAAAACGTATATCGAATAATAATATACATTATTAAATTTAATATAAATATAGTTATTTTTTTTGTAATTTATTCCATTTTCAATAGAGTTAAATATAATTTGATATACGGAATAATAATTTTAATGATTATTGGGATATATCATTTATAAATTTCTTTATTAGAATATAAAAATTTATAGAATTTTTTCAAAATAATTTGTGAATATGTAATATGACACTTTCATGTATTCAATACTGTACGTACATGAATGATTTAATATATTATTCCTATTATATAAGCCTAATGCATAATTCTAAATAAATAATTTATACTTCTATATATGAATAAAACTTATAAAAGTGTTATTATAATATTTATTACAAAGAAAATTTTTTCTTTTAACAAATGTTATAATACATTTCCCAAAGATGTATTAATGTATTATCAACAATATTATTCCTTATTATTCTTACTCAACCTTGGTTCTAATATGTTTTTACAACGTCATAAAATATAAGCTCACAAATTTATACTAATTTCAGAAGATATAGGATATTGGTTATAGAATATAAAATACCGACTATTGCTGTAAATCTGCATACGCAAGAAATATTTATCCGACACACATTTTTTTTCTTTTTTTTTAAATTATTTTATTAATTAAAATTATATCTACACGATACTTCGAATGGAATATTTTGAGTATAAAAAATAAATTGACATACATAATTTATATTCAATTCAATATGTATAGAATAATAAAAATATAAAAATTATTATTCCTTCATTCTCTTTTCATGCAATAAATCATGTTATATATTGTTTATTTTATATATTTCATGAATTCTGTACATATAATTAAGTGTATATTATATAAATTTATAGCAAATAAATCTTTAAGAAAATGAATATTATTCTTTGTAATTACATTTTCGATTAGCATTTCTCTATATATATTTTAATAAATAATATTATATTTATTAGTTTTAAGGAATGTATAAAATTTATTTTATATAATTAAATGCTTTATATTATTTAAAATTAATCATAATTGATAATTATATAATAATCCAACTATAACATGTTTAATAAATCAGTATATAATTTCTTAGCAAAATATATTTTCATTTCTTTTAGTGTTTATAATTGTTCCTGGCTTTATTCTTCAGAGTTTAGTGTTTAAGTTCACCCCTTATGATTTCGGCTTAAGGCCTTAGGATTTTAGCTTTAGGTTTAGGTTCTGAGTATTTAATTACAATACTTTAATATTATGTTTATGTCTTTATTTATTATGTTTCACGTATTATTTTTATTTATTTATTCATGCATAATATTATGGAATTTAGTTTATTATGATATATTTTATGTATTATTTTATTTTTTATATATTCTTCATAGAGTTTATTTTAAAAGTACATTATAGTTAGAACATGTATTATGTATTGACATATAACTGCAATTTCATGACTACCTGTATATGCCATTAGGGGTTATTTAATTTGTGTATATTTCATATACTTTTTATTTATAATTATATATATGAATAACTTGTATATTATAGTCACTAATTAATGTGATTATCTATTTAGGTGTTCATTAATGTACTTATATAATTAATTACCAAGTTATCTACATTCATCATTATTTTAACTTTGTTTTATCTATTTAGAGTACTACGTATTACTATTTTTATTGTAATGATAAAGATAATTACAATTTTATATATTATTCTTATTATATGCAGGGATTTTATTAATATATTAGCAATAAATTAAATCGCGCATATGTTATTTATGCAGTAAATCATATTACTGTATACTGTATTGTTTTATTGTGCAGACAATTTTGTTGTTATTTTTTTTTAATTTGAGATTTATGGCAATGGTCAGATAATAATTTTATTGAAGTTAATATTTGTACAGGTATATTATTCGGATAGTC